CAATGAACGTGCAAAATGCCCCCCCCCCCGTCGGCATACTGCGTTTGCCTCTACTGGAACCTTGATCTCGATATTCTGCTTTCCTGGCAATCCATGGTACCACAGACCAGGGCACATTCTGAAGTGGGTGGAACTTCGATAGAAGAACAAAAAAAAAAAGAAACGACCGCCTTCTCACAACTCACCAACAATTTCACCAGTTCCCCAAAATGCAGCCGTGAGAGTACATAGTGCACGTGAAATGGGAACAACCAGTAATTAGGATAATTTTTCCAAATTTTTCCTCGGCCAGGTACGACCCCCTCTGCTCTGAATTTTCTATGTCTAATCTAGGAGATTTCCACCTTCACGGTCCACGGTTAATAATCCTCAATAGCATGACCCATATGAGCCAAAGGGACTAAGGTATTGGGTTTTCTGGATGATGGCATCCGCTAGCAGTTCCTTGATAGAAGAAACTTCAAAAGAAAAAGATAAGAAGGATGAATTGAAGAGTCAAGGAAAAAAGGCTTGAAGATACGCTTTCCCAAGCAATTCAGATTAAACTGGAATGACACTAGGAATGCAAGCCCTCACACAGAATCATAAAACCCGACATTCCCAGCAAAAGCACATGCAATGGTGAATGTGACCCCAAGCAAGATTTTTGCCCACAATTCAATCACACCTCGTGCAGCATGCATTCATACCTTCTTGTCAAAATTCGCATGCCCACGAGTAGAGGCTAATCGTCGTCTTCGAATCACGACGAATCCAACAACCAGTACAGCAAAGGCTAGCGAAACCAAGATGATGATACCGGTAGTTCCAGTAGCCTTCGACGCTGAGCCAAACGCACCCGTGAAGGACGAACCATGGAATGATGAAGTGGGCCCATCGTGTTGGATCTGAAGCGAAGCTGTGATGCACAAGAAAAGATAAAGTCGCAAAGCATAGAAGACCCTTGCTCAGCACAAAAAGCGGACAGACACATAATTTGAATTTGTAACCAACTAACGTACCCTAAATATCCATAGAGTTGATTTCCCACTAGCTATGTCGCCTACGAAGATACTGCGACCGTCTGGTGAAACGCGGATCACATGCGGTTGTCCAAATGGACGGCTGGTCGGAGCGAATCCGAACTCGACTAATCCGGTCCCTGCGCGACCAACGAAGACGTGAATAGCCTCCTGAAATGGAAATGTCAACATCTCCCGGCAAGGCTTTTTTTACACATTTAACTACATTCTGTGGACACTTCCTAAGATTCAGGACACCGCCTGGTATTCTTTGCTCAGCGGAGCCAGGTTAACACATTGGCGACAAGGCGCCTTTTCGCGTGTCTGCCGCGTGGGACGAAGCAATTTTTCCCTATTTTTGAGGAATGCGCATGAATGCTAGGGCGTTTACACACCAAAACACTTGAAGAAGGACTAGTATTCAATGCAGAAGCTAGTAAAACTTTTGCTGTTTTTTTACTTTCAATTTAAACCCTTAATTTTCGTGGAATACTCCCGCCCCATACACGCGGAGCGTGGG